TGCATACATGTCCCCATAAGTATGTGTGCGTATGTACAAGTATGTCTCTATGAGCAGGGCCCCGTTAGAAGTGTGTTTGCTTGTGTGTGTGCGTCTTGACACATGTGTCTGTACGTGTGCCCTCATTAAGGTGCATTTTGTCTTCACATGCTATGTACACATGTGTGACTGTGTTGTGTGCATGTGTACAGGTGTGTGTCTCAGTGAGCACCTGCTGGAGCTGTGTGTACCTGCCTGTGTGCAGAGCTGGCTCTGGGCTGCTTGGCTGTGCTCTGCCCCAAGCACCCTCTCCACAGGGCCTCGGCAGCCTCCAATCAGCTTGGGGTTTGGCAGGTGTGTTGGCAAAGGCTGGAGGCAGGAAGCTGGGACCCAGCTATTCCTTTCGACGGGCCCTGGGGCTGGGGACAGCTCTGACGACTGGGTAGGAGCTGGCTCCTGGGCCCCAGGTCCTGGCTCTGAGTTTGGCACTGACTGCTCTGGCCTGCCTCGTCCTTTCTCGGGCAGCTGGACTCAGCAGGGGCCTCGCCAAGAGGGTACCCAGCTCTACTGGGTGGGAGGGCTGCGACTGTGGCCCCGCCCACCCTCTTCCAGCGGGACAAGAATGATGGCGATGAAGACACGGTGGGGACACACACACGGGCCTGGTGGACATCCCGGCCGCAGGGTATGGCACATGTAGGGTGATGAGAAGGTCCGGCCTAGATCAGGAACTGCTCGGTGTCCGGTAGCAAGACAGGGTCCAAGAGGCCGGGGTCGCCGCAGCTGGGTCGTGGAGGGAAACCCCTCGGCCGCAGGGCGGGCAGCAGTGTCTCCACTGAGGAGGCCGATGGGCTCTGAGCAGTAAGCCGGCCCCCTGCCAGTGGGCCCTGGGCTGCGGGGCTCCTGCTCCCGGTCAGCAAGGCCAGGCTTCCACTAGGGTCCACGATGGCGTTGATGACTGTGGGGGAGGGGAGTTCTGGGAGTGACCAACTGAGGGGCCTCAGACCCACCCAGACCCAGGGGGCCGCTCCACCCACCTTACACGGCATCCGCCCCACCCACCCACCTTCTAGCTGTTTCTGCACACGTCTCAGTTCCTTCAGGATGGAGCTGATCTCCTGGAAGGGAGGTGGGGGATGAGGGGCTGAAGGCCAAGGAACCCTCTCTTCTCCTGGGGCCACAGGTCAGCTCCCACCCCCAGCAGCCCCTACCTTGTTGGACGTCTTCAGAATGGGCACTTCATTCTCAGCATTGAGCCTGGCCTCCAAGTCCTCCCAGGTGTGCCCCGTGTTCTGGAAAAGTATCCTGCCCACCACAGTGGGTAAGGGGGGGAGCAGAGTGAGCCTGTGATGGTGGCTGCCCCCAGGCTCCACCCCACTCACTCTCTGGCCTGAGGGGACCATAGACAGCCCACACCCTAGTGTGTTCTAGGGGCTCGGCTTTCCTAGCAGGGGTGTGGACGCTCGCTGGGGGCAGAGCGGGAGAACACAAGCCGGAGAGTGCTGTATATGCCTGCAGGCCCACATCCTAGGGTAACTGGTGTGGCCGTGGGCGCCAGCTCACATTTGTTAAGTGCATGTGTGCGCTTGCGCACAGGCATGTGCCCAGGCCACGTGCCTCCTGTGGGATGACAGCGTGAGCACGTGTGTGCTGTCAGGCCCAGCACCCTAGTGTGCAGCCTGCTGTGGGCAGGCCATCCCTGTGCAGGAGCTGGGCCTCTGCCCTCCCCCGCCCCTCCCACCAGGCTGCCTCCATCCCAGTCCTGCCCTCCCTCAGCCCTGGCCACCCTCCCCAGCCACTCCAGCCACAACCATGGGGTAACCCATGGGGGAGCATCCACCCCAGCCCCACCCACAGGCCGCGTTAGCCCCGCCCACCGGGCCACTCACTTCATCTTGTCCACAAGGCGCTCTGTGTTCTCGCGGATGGCTTGGGACAGCTGCGACACGGGGTTCAGCATTAGGTTGTCAAATATCACCTGTGGGAAGGGCGGGTCATCTGTCAGGCAGGCTCTGCGTCCCCACACCCACCCAGCGTGCCAGCCCACCAGCCAGCGCGTGCCTCCTCGCGGTTCCGAGGCCTGGTCTTCGAGGCCAGGGGGTCCTGCCGGCTCTCGTTCATGTTCTGGTCCAAGTCCCGGGAATTGAGGGTGCGGGGCGGCACCTTCTGGAAATTGAGGCTGGCTTCTGGGATGCGCTGCACCAGCTGTCGACAGAGGGGTGGGTGGTGTCGTGGGAGCTGACCCCAGCCCTACTGCTTGGGGTCCCACGGAGACCTCTGCCCCCAGGTAAAGGCTCAGGCTTCTGTACTAGTCACGCCTCGGGACTGCCAGCCAGCTCTTGCTAACCAGCCTCCAGGCGCGGGACTCACCTCCTCACGGGCGGAGATGGTAGAGGCTGGCGTGCTGGGCACATTGCTGAGGGAGGGGCTGTGGGTGGGCCCGGAGGAGGCTAGAGGGTCACCATCACCAGCCACGTCATGGATCTCCCGGGCTAGCGTGGCCACGTCCTTCACCAGTGTCTGGCTCAGCCTGAGAAGACAGGAGGCGTGATCTGCTGGGCACTGAGGACACCCAGCACAGGGCAGAGATGGGCAGGAAGCCAGAGACGCCCACTAACACCCTACAAAGTCAACTTACACCCCAAGACAGCCCTTCCCCAAGGCGGGGCACTGTCGGGGCTAAGCCCTGCACCACTGGTCGCTCCACGATGGGCCCTTTTATCAGAGGTATGCCGACAGCCTGACGCCCACAGCCACAAGGGGGATGTAGGGGTGGGGCTGGGGTAGGTCCCGGACAGGTAGGTGGGACATCTACCTTTACCCCACCACCTCCAGGGGCCAGCAGCTTTTGATCACCACCTCTGGGTCTCTTGGGTAGGGGTCAGGCTTGATGTCCAAACACCAAACTCTGCTGGGACAGGCAGTGTGACCCACCTGGCCGCCCTCACCTATCTGCCCACCTAGACAGCAAGCCAGCCAGGTGGCACCCAGGACCCCTTCGTGCCCCTCAAGGCTCGGCCCCACACCTCACAGCGCCCCTTAACTCCGCCCAGGCCTCAGGTTCTAACTTCAATCGGTTAGTTTTTCTATCATTGGGGTGAGGTGGGGTTTCTTCTGTGGAAGCCCCGCCCACCCTGGCAGAGAGCCTTCCACGCACTCTGCAAGATCTGACAATACGCAGCCAAGGAGACACCCCGACCAATGGTGCTGACCCTGCCCACCGAGGAGTCGGTCCCTCCTACTCAGACCACTCACCACGCCCACGTTGGAGCCCCTCCTACCGAGGGGGCTTTCCCAGCCCATCCAGGGGCCGCCCACCAATGGCACTTGGCCCGCCCACCCAGGAGCTGCCCACCAATGACACTCATCCTGCCCACGCAGGCGCTTTGCTGGCGGAGTCCTACCTGGCAATCTCCGCGATCTCAGAGGTCTGCACGATGAAGCCGTAGGGGTCTGCCTCGTCGTCTGTGCCCCGGGGGCCACCCCGGGCCCTGGAGTGGCCGTTGCTGCTGGCCCGTGGGGTCTGCGTGGCTGTAGAGGTATGGGCGTGGGCGTGTTTGGGGGAGCCGCACTCCTCCTCCGAAGTGGACGTGTAATCAGAGCCCTGCTGCCGGCGGCGCGCGTCTTGGCAAAGGAGTTGGTTTCAGAAGCGGGAGAAAGCAGAGCGGGCCTGAGCCCCCATGCAGCCTGGCTGCTGGCGAGGCCCTCGCCGCACCACCCACCACAGCCCTGCAGGCCTCCATGCAGCGACCAGCGGCCTCACACCGGGGTGGGGTCTGGGCTGGTGACAAGGGTCCCTAGCCCCATAGTGCAGGAAGAGCACCCAGCGGACATGCAGGCAAGCAGGCAGCGCCCCCACCCCCACAGAGTGGCCATGCACCCCTGGCAATGCCCCCTAGGGATCACCAGTAGCAGCCAGCGCAGTGGCCGCCTGTTGAGCAGGGCCATCCTCAGCCTGCATGGGCACCTTCTCAGGGCACCCAGTGGGCAAAGGGAGGCGGCCAGGCCTGGAGAGGCATCAAGGGTGGGGCTATGGGATCCGTCCACTCAAGAGACGGCTCCTGGGTGTCAGAGCAGCCCCTGGCCCTGTAGACCAAGAACCCAGGACCCAGAACCGACGGTGGGGAGCCCAAAAGTCCTTCCCCAGCCTGGCTGCCCCGGACTCCATGTGCAGAGGGGCACACTGCACCGGCGGGAAGGTGGGCAGCCCGGCAAATTAACACAGCCTGGGGTTGGGTGGGGAGAGAGGAGGAGTCTCGGGAGAATGCTCGGTCTGGGGCAGTGGGTCTCCTTCCCCTCTGCTGGGGAGTCTGGAAACACCGCACACACTTGTACTCAGGCCCTGTGGAGGGGCGGGGCGGGGCGGGGCGGGGCGGGGCCCCCGCCCGCCCACCTGTGCCAAGAGGTCAGTGGCCGGGCAGGTGCTCCAGACACAGCTCAGACCACTGGTCTGTGGGTCTGCTGGGGGGTCCGGGGCCTGAGGGGCCTCAGGGTCCCACCCGCTCCCAAGCCCACACTCACTAGAGGAAGGGTAACGGGCGCTGCCTGGGCGGGCCCTGCTGAAGGGCTGGCGAGAGGCCGTGGAGGCTGAGGCAACAGTGGCTGCTGCCCTTCGAGCTACGCTGGACTTGCGGTTGCTGCAGGAGAATTCTGCGCTCCGGCCGGAGAAGCCCGTGCGGGCCGGGGCAGCCTCGGTCTCACTGGTGCCTGTGAAGGAGCCGGCCCGCTTCCGTGGCAGGGCCAGGATGTCCAACCGAGACAGCTTCTTGGTCTGCTCTGCAGCTGGGCGGCTCGTGGGCTCAGGGTTGACGGGGATGCCCCGCTCACTGTCAGCGGCCTCTGTGTCTGAGGTGTCGCCCAGCCTAGCGCGCCGCAGACGCGAGGCCCGCGTGGGCCGTGGCGTAGACAGGCTGTTGGAGCGGGTCAGCATGTGCGGCCCCTTCTGAGAGCTGCTAGGGACTCGGCCCTGCTCCTCCCGGGCGGCTGGGGATGGCAGAGGGGCCGCTGGCTTCCGCCGAGGGCCTGGCCGTCCCTGCCTGGTGCCTACAGGCAGCTCGTGGTCTGAGCCCCCAGTGTCTGAGACTGGTGCATGGATAGGGCTGGAGCCGCGCTCCTCACGTGGCCAGTCCAGGGACCCGTGGGGCCCATGTCCACGCCTCATGGACAGACGCCTGGTCAGCTCTGCTCGACCAGCATCTGTTGGGCCTGGTGGGCGGCACTGCTTCTCAGAGAGCCGCCCGTGGGTGCTACTCAGGGTGGAGACCCCCAGGTCCTGAGTGGCCAGCGGCTTGTCCTTCTGTGATCTACCTGGCTGTGGGGTGGTCGGGCTGGACCCATTTTTGCCACTGAGCAGGCTGCCCATGCTGGCTGTGTCCATGTCGGAGTCCCCGGACAGTGAGTCCTCCTGTGGCCTGGGAGGACTGCCACCTTCCAACTGGGCCTCTGCAGACTTGGACAGTAGCTGGGCCTCCAGGGCTGCCAGTGCTGTCTCAGTCTCCTTCAGGATCAGGTGGGTGTCCTGGGTGTGGAGGTCCGTACGGGCGGCCCGGGCAGCAGCCAGATCCTGGAGCAGTGGGTGGCTGGAGATGTGGGGGAGCTTGCCAGGGGCCGGGGGACCACTGGCCGGCTCCTTGGTGAAGCTCTCCTGCCGGATGAAGGCCAGTCCCTCTTTGGGCATTGCTGAGCCAGGGCTTGCAGGCTCTGGAGAGCGCCGGGTGCAAAGCTGGATGACCATCTTGCCGCTGGTGCTGACGTACAGACCATCTGGGGATGGCACGCTGGGCAGGGCTGTCCGCTGGGGAGGCGCCTCCCCGGGTGCTGGAAACGGCTTCTTGGTAGCCGTTGCCTCTCCGTTCTGGTCCCCGATGAAGAAAGAGGTGGAGGCTGGCTCCCCCGGAGTCCAGGGGGAGTACTGGCCCCTTGTCCATGCTGGCACCTCTGTAAGGCCCCTGTGTCCTTCGGGCAGCTGACCCTTGCTGGGCTCAGGGTTCCAGCCGCCATCTGACCCACTGGCGTCACTGAGACTGTCTGGGTCCAGCTCCTCCTGGCCAATGAATGGGCAGGCCTGCTCACTGCCAGATTCAGGCGGGCCGGGAGCAGCCTTTCTGGTGGCCTCAGGACCTGCGGGGTTGTCCACCCGCTCGCTGGGCAGCTGTGGGAGGAGGCGGCGTGTACGCGAGGGCAGGGCCACCTCAGGCTCCATGGTCTGGTGGCTGTCCTCTGCGGAACGGGGAGAGCAGCCTGTTAGGGCAGCAACCTGCCTGGGGACACATGGGGACACACGCAAAACAAGCAGACTGAGCTGCTGGAGACCTGACTTCTCTACCACAGTGAGGGAACACTAACCTGCCAGGCCTGGGTCCGAGAAGCTGTCAGCCAGGCTGGCCCAGCGGGATACCCACTTCTGAGCCCCTGGGGAGCCAGGGGCTGGCTGGCCCTGCAGAGGGGAGATCAGGGAGTCTCACAGCAGGCAGAGGTGAGAGCCTGCAGGGAAGGAATGGTGGGGATGGGAGCAGTGGGGGTGGACAGGACACACCTGTCCTGCTCACACTCCTGGTCTTGCTGCTTGCTGGAGCCTGGAGCCCCAGAGTTGAGAGCCCACCTTCCAGAGTCACCCTGCGTGGGGCATACCTGGTGCCTGGCCTGTGCGCCTGATGCTAGCCGGGACCCAAACTCCTGCAGCTGAACCAGGTGCTGGGCCACCCCTGCACCTGCCACCTCCTCTTTATCATCTCTGATGACTGGGCGGAAGGTAACCTGGGGCGGATCCAGAGACTCGAACACTCCAAAGACCTGCCAGGAGGGGTCAGCACAGGGCTATAGTCAGCAGAGCTGGTCCCCGCCCCCGCCCCGGCCCCTCCCGATGTCTCACCCCAGGCTGCTGGGAGACCAGAGCTCCGATTCTGGACCCACAGCCTGGCTGTGCTGCACTGCCCATAAGAAGGGCCACACAGACCCAGGCCTGGGGGATGGGGGAGGGGCAGGGGCAATCCCAGGCAGACCCCAGGGAGAGGATTCCTCCAGCATTCTCCCACCCAGTCAGACCACACACAGACACCCTCCCCCCGATCAGACCTGAGCAGAACACCCCCCCACCCCAAGCCCACCTACAGGTTCTAATCATACCCAGCCCTGCCCACCAGATGGCCTCAACAAGTTCCACCTCTTCACATGATTGGGCACTTTTTGCCTCAGCCCCGCCCACCCAGTCTAACTGCACAACCCCAGACCAGCCCACCTGAGGGCCACGCCCACTTGGTGATGCCACTCTGGTCTCGCCCTTCACAGGAGGCTACACCCGACCCACCCACCTGGTCGATCATCCGGCGTGCTTCCTCCACCTCCTGGTCTGGCGCCTCAGTCTCGATGGTGTAGGTGCCCGCGTCGCTCAGACTGTCCTCCTCCTCTGGCCTGTGCCCCTTGGTCAGCTGGGGGTCGGCGGGAAGCGGGGGCACCTCGGGGCTGGCCCCCAAGGGCGGCA